TGCTGAATTCATGGGAACTTAGGAAAATACACTTCTAGGCATATTAAAAAATCTCTACTGTAATGCATTTGTATAATTTCATAATATAGATAAAGCATATCCTTGGTGTGTGGGTGGGGTTTTTTTGGGGGGGGTGTTCTTTTGTTTTGCCAGATTTAAGAGGCTAGATACAAAGGTGGCGATCTTGTTAAAATCAGGTATTTATTTTGCCCCTAGGAATTAACAGGTAAATAACTTTTTTTCAATTTTTCCTGCCCTTCTTGCCCACTGCCCTTCCCCTTAAAAAATAAAAATCCTGCAGGGCTTATCCAGGTTGGGAAGTGGAATCCAGTTCCACTCTCCTATGTGACAGATGCCCCTGATGCTACAGTAGCAGACATGCTGCAAGATGTGTATCATGTGGTCACACTGAAAATCCAGTTACACAGGTAAGTTGCATACCAGTTCTGGGACGTGAACTGTTACTTGTCTGCTCTTACTGTTAATATTGCTTGTATTTAATTCCCACTGTGCTGTGTGCTCAAAGTACAAAGGCTTATCTAAATTCCTTTTTAGTTACTCTAATTCTTCTTTAACTTACAGTATACTATTGCAGAAAACTTTTATAGCTCTGATACATAGATTTTCTTTGGATATCTCATTAAAACTATATTGCATTTTAGTCAATTAAATGATGCATTACAAGAAGGCATTTTACATAAAGTTTACTTAAGAGAAAAATATTTTTGCATATCATGAACAGTACCATCTGTGTGCATTTTGTAAAAGAATGACTTGCTCACACTTATTGTTGCTGTCTAGGTTCTTAAATTTCACGGTAACAAAAAAGAAAAAAATGGTTAATATATTAATGCTTTTCATGATCAGTCGTGAGAAAGCATTACACCTTAAATTGTTTTACCAAGCGCATCAGAGCAGGAAGGTAGAAGTAACATGAAAAAATAGTCGCCACATGCAGCTGATGTATAATTCATGCATCAATACAGCAGATGTGTTGTATAAAGTAATTAACTAATCGGAACAATCAGGAGACCGAGAGCAATCTCCAGATGCATCTGCTTGATGCGCAAAATGAAATCTGTCTGTCTTAAAGGAATGTTCTGCAGCAGGATGCAATCTTGTAATAATCCCTTTTCTAATCTGTGTTTCAAATAGTTGCCCTAAACTAGAAGACTTGCCTCCTGAACAATGGTCTCACACAACAGTAAGAAATGCTCTGAAGGACTTACTGAAGGATATGAACCAGAGTTCATTGGCCAAGGAATGTCCCCTTTCACAGGTACTTAGCATAACATGTAATAAATAATAAAGCACTATAGGCAACGCTGATGTGAGATTTGAGATTTCTACAGACTGTAGCAAGTAGTACCCGTGGAGTGAATCTGCCAAAAATGCAAATTCATTTGACCACTTCATGATCTTTTATAAATATGCCTGATTCATTTTGAACATAGTCTTACAATGTTTCCCATGGGGAGTTGTGAAAGGTTGTTTACACCACACTAAAATTGTCTCACAGCAAACTGGATTGTAACTGGTTTTTGTCTTCAGTCTTTGAACTGCTTTGATGTAACTACTTTTTTCAAACACATGTGTTCAAGATGTTAAAAGGCTCTTTACTTACTGCTGTCAAAAGTACTATTGAATCTGAATGCTTGTTAGATAACCTACAGTAGTTTTAAATGCTAATTCATAAAATGAGACAGTCTTTGGCATGCTATATGAGAAGGGAATAAAGAATAAAGCTCTTTGGATGATGTGTTGTGTTGCAAACAACCAAAGGAAAATCAGCCATTTATTAGTTCTAATCAAAATATACCTAAACATAATGAAACCTCAATTTATGCATTGCTAAATATTGAACTGATGCTTTCCTCAAGCCTTAGTCGTATTGTTCTTTTTTGCCTTTTTTTTTTTTTTCATTCTTTTGCCAAATTACTGTGAAGGCACAACTTATTTTTCCATGCAGTACAGTGTCCAGTGATGCTGTGGTGGGAACGTCATATTTATTTTTACCTTTTTAAAATGTATTTTGTTGTGGTGCAGTGGAGACAAATTGAGTGTACAAATAAATGATGCTAGTTGTGGTAGGGAGGGGAAAAAGGAAATTAAGGAAGTCAAGGTATTTTTGTGGGGATTTTATTTCTCTTGCTCAGAATATTGGAGTCTTTGTCTCCGAAAGACTTCAGTTCATCTATAGAGAACTACTCTCTTTCTCTCTCTGTCTTTCCAGCGTATATATTAGCAGACTGTTTTCCCATCACTTTTTTTTCCCCTAAGGTTAGATTGTTTTCAGTGATGTGGCTCCAATATAGGAAGTTTTGAAGTGGAAATAATCAAAATTATCTTCACTGGTTGAAAACCATTCCAGTAACATGTCTGCAAAGTTATATTGTATGTACCTACTATAAAAGCATGTGAGCTTTTGCACTGCTGGCTTATGGAGGCTGCGGATAATTTGGGATTTTTCTCCATTTTAATCTAATAATGCTAGGTTTTACTTGATGCTGATGGAAAGCAAGTAAATTCTATCGAGATGGAATATTTCATTTTTATTTAGACGTAGTGTTTCACGTAGCAGCTTCTGTATATATGTAGATGATGAAATGATAAAGCAGAAAAGTTTTTAAAAGGAATACTTCACTAGAGACGGTATTGTACTGGAGACAATTCAATAATTACACTCTTTTAAACAGTTGTTTTTAAACTATACTGAATTTTTATACAATAATTTTAATGGACAAAAACCATCTTGCCTAATAACAGCTCTCGAAGTTAGCGCTTGAGACGACCAAAACCCCAGATTACAGAACTCTGATTTGGGGCTGTTTGTTTGCTGTTTTGCACTTCTTTATTTGTAAAGGAATATACTTAAAGCCATGAGCTTCTTCCTGTTGTTAAAAGCATGCTTATTACTTTTGTCATCTCTGTCTTCACCAGTGCTGTGGTAGTTGGGTTGCAAGAATTTAAATAGCTTCTGCTTTTCTTTTTTCTTTAAAGACCAAATCACATTAAGCTTAAAATACATTTATTTATTCTTAACTTTCGGAAAAACGAGCTGTTATAGCAGTTGATTGAGAGCCCATCAGTCAGTCTAAATCTTCCTATTTCCCTCTGGGAGCTTGAGGGAGGACGCATTGATTTGACGGTGTCCTTTTCACATGACTAAATTGACCTGAATGCTTCCCGTATTTGCCTAACTAATAACTCACTGCATATCGCTCCTATGGAAAGGACACTGATTTAAGAGTGTCTGTGTTATGTTAAATATATTAAATTTTGAGACTTGCATCGCAGTGGTGTGGCGTGCTGCTGCAACAGAGGTGAGAAGTAAGAGCAAGGCGGAGGTCGGCAGGCAACGTTTCCTTAGAGAGTCTGTCAAAATGCCAGCATGGGAGACTCTTCTGAGAGCAGAGAAGTGGTCTCTCCTGTTATGTACTTCCACGGGCATAGGTAATGCCATATGAAGTGCTTCATCACAAATGCAAACTAATGCAGTGACACCGTACCATAACTTATTAACACTGTTATGGATATAATTTATTAACCACAGAGAAATGACTCAAAGTGGAAACGAGAGTAGATATAGGTTTTTGTCACTGTCATTAGCAGTACTCTATTTTGTGTAGGCACGGAAGGATTTGTTGTAAAGTATTTAAGTTGCCGTGCTCGATGCATGGCATCTCCGAAGTCCTAGCTAAGCATGGAAAACTGAGAATTATCATCCTCACTTAGCATTTACTGTATTTTCTTAATTAATCTTGCATTTTGTGTGTTAAAAAATTGCTCATATTTATTCAGAATACTGATATTCTATGTCCTGCAAAAGAATGCAAGCAAACTATTTTTATAGCGCAGATATATTTAATAGCTTGAAAATACATGAGCAAACAAACTTTGAGATCCAGTTTGTCTTAATTGTAGAGTCTTGAAAACTTCACAGCATCATCTACTTGAGTGGGGTTTTGTTTTGTTTGTTTTGTTTTTTTAAGTTTTTTTGCTATTTGCTTTCTTGCCCAACTAAAACCTTGGGGCGTACAGGTATGAACTCCTCGTGCCTGCCTTGGTAAAATACCACTGTGACTCTTGCTCTCATTAGAAGAGTTGAATACATGGTCTGTTTTGAAGCTATGGTAATTGTCTCGCTCTGTGACTGTTGTGGCCACCCCTGAAGGCCAGGTTTATCGCTCAGTGTACGAACCCGCATCGCGGGCAATCCCCATTGACGTGGCTTGGGACAGACTAGAGCAAATGCATGGCTCTGAATTGCCATGGAATCGCAAGCATCCGTCCAGAGGTTTAGTCTCAAATTTTTGGTATCAAGCAGGCAAGGTAAAAGGATGTGGCAAATTACACATGGAAAAGCCAAGCCTGTTCTGAGTTATGCACTGTAGTGTGTATTTTCATGCTTTACCTCGGGTTTGCAGATTTTATTGCTAGAGACTAGCAGCATACACAGATGCCGGGTTGAAGACTTCTTGTGTTTGATACATACGGCTCGCTTCATTTCTGCTTCCTCTCCAGACCTCTTTTGATGGGGAAGGCAACTTGGAATTTAATTTAGGGCTCAATTTTGGGCTGTCTTGTGCATTCCATTAAATTGGTGCATCTCGCGAGTGGCCTAGATCTCATTTCCCTCCTGTTTTGGCTCTTCAGTCTCCAAAGGGTTGTAAAGAAATTGTTCTACCATCAATTCTTATTTCCAACCCCTTGCACAGAAGCTCTACTCTACCTCAGTCTGTTGGGAGCTGCTCTAAAGTGATCAGGCAGGCAGGTCTGTTGCATTTATTTATTTAATGTTAGTCCTTCCGTCTCTCTACTCAGCCTTAGTCCTAGCATTTTCATATTTCACTTTCAGAGTTTTGCTCTGTTTTAGTTTTTAGTGCAGAAGTCTCTTATTACTTCCACAGTTAAAATGACTGAAATACTACAGACCTTATTTATACTGATATTAGTAAGGGGTTTTTTTTGTTTTGTCGCTATTGAATTATCAGAGAGAGAGAGAGAGTTAGATAAGCTTTTATGAGGGAGAGGAGAGCAACATGGCCTGTTGGCCCAAGAAAAGGCTGGAAATTCTTTTGATAATTCTGGAACAAACTCATTGTGTGCTTTTGAACATTTAGATGTACCCCTTATCTTGCATTCCTGTAATCTTTTCCGTGAAAGAAAGATAACAAGTCACCTACCAAACGAAGAGATTGTAGAGATTAATTAGTATCTGGGCACTGCTTTGAAAATACAGCAGTGATCAAATGACATTGACTTTCCCAGTGGTATTATCTCACCTGAATTTTTTCTACAAAAAGATTTTCTAAATGATTGTTGTTAGTATTCACAAACAGGCTTGGCTTTTAAAAAAAAAAATAAATTTTTTTTTGCACTTTATCAAACCACTGCAAAAGCACTTCTGCAGCAAGTTACTCATTCTTTCTCTTCCCCCATAGTTATAGCTAGCCTAACTCTCAGGACAACCAGTAGCCAGTGCATTAGAGATGAGAAAATCCAGGCCTGATGTATAGTAGAATCTCAAATCTCATGGTTTATTAAGTTTTGAAATATTTTGTAGGGGACATGCAATATTTCCATGGAATATATCCAGTCTCTGATACTTATGGACATAGTAATTTATGTGCACTGTATTACTATTTTGAATTTTTTTTGAAGATATTTGTGTGCTCTTGATGATGAGGGAATCGCTTTTTTTTTCAGTTAGAGGGGTATACGCTTGCATTCCGTAAAACGTATGAGCACACAGAACAAGTGCTGGTATGATACTGAAGTCTGAATAGTTTTGCACTTGTGATAAATATAGCTATCCTGACTGCATTTTGATCAAACTTCTGTGCTGTAGTGAATGACTGTCTGCATCTGACACGGGCACAATATAGATCATATACTTTTTCCTTTTTGTTCAAATATCCTGCCCTGAATTTGCATGCTGTTTTATGCAGACATTGTGCAGGCTTTATGTGATCTGGCAGAGACGCCAGACAGAAAGCTTGCTCAGAACATCAGTGTTTCTCAGTTCACCTGATCTGAAGGCACCTGGCCATCATAGCAAATAAGCAGTGTAATAGAAATCCTCTGGCATTTCCTCGCTGCTGTTCTGACTCCCCCACCCCGCCAAAATACCAACCAAAACCAGTTGCATTTGCTAAAATGATAATTTCCTAAAAGACCTATAAATAACCAAGGAACGCGCTATTAAGAGTTGCCAAAATGCATGCTTTTTATGAGCAATTTTAATTCACGCTTTACAAAACTGAAAGGTGTTTTTTG